TATTTTTTGTTATCTTTCAAAACATAAAGCTTAATAGTTCAAATACACCTTAATTATACGCATAATAGTAATCTAAAAAATTATTTGTTTTTACTTGAGTGCCCTTTTTAATTTTTGAGATGACGTTAAAATAGATTAGAAAATCTTAAGTATTATTTGTTTATCATTAAGAATTGTTTTTAGTAATATACTGCCGTTAAAGATGGATTAAATACACAAAATGAAACATTCATCAAGTTTCTACAAATAATTTAATCATAATTTGTAATGAAAAACAAAATAAATGCTTATAACCTGATTTGTTGGATCTCTATATTTTAATATATATATATATCAATATAATTTTGCGAAACAGCCTACTAGATAATACGCTGTCAAGAGAAAATACGTTTTCAGGAATTAGGCCAATGGTGTTAATGACTTTTGAAAACGCTTTATTAGAATGACTTCTTGATTGTTCTAATAAAGCAATAAAAAGGCTTTGTATTAAAGCTTACAAAAGTCACTGACGTAGATTAACTAACTCATTTAAAAATATGCTATATTATTTAATAACAATCTAAAAATACTTTCGCCATATTAATAGTATTGATCTACTTGCCCCCCAGTGGCAAAGCGGTATGTCTGTGGACTTACAACGCTAGAAACTGGGTTTTGATACCCGTGGTGGGCAGAGCACAGATAGCCCATTTTGTAGCTTCGTGCATAACTTCAAAATAACAACATCTTGATCTACTTTACTTATGTAAATCATTCCTAATAATAATTATATATTATAATGCTTTCACCGGCTTAATTAACGATCTGAGGAAAAATGATTGGTCAAAATATCTAGAGATGAAAGAAATTGTTTAACGGTGTAATACAATTACTTTTTTCGTTCTGTTACAAACCTTAAGAAACTTTATCTGACTCACAAACACATCACTCTTATAGCACTTGATATTTTGCTTTATCTACAATACTGATTCAAACAAACGACAACAATAAATATAATAAATACGGGTAGTAGGTGGTTAAAAGTCTTAGGGTCTAATTGTTCCAAAAATATGTTGTTCATGTAAAATCATTTTTCCTTTAGAAGTTTTTTCAGCAATATATGTTATACGGATAGCATGCATTTCAAAGATCACTTAATTAAAAACTATGTTTTACATTTGGAATTAGCTTTTTCATTTGAAGCAGTAAGGGATTTTACGCTTTAATGAATTAGCTCTACCTCAAATTTATACAACCAACCTGTTAAACGTTCTCATTAATCTCATGATTTCAATACATTTACCATACTGATTGCACTTTGGTTAAGAAGCCGTGACATGAAACAAAACTCTTTGCAGCAAAAAAAATTTTTATCGTTAAAGTAGCCAATGGTGTGGTCTAATTGATCAGTGTCTTATAACAGTGCTCTATTGGTTTTTTCAGACACAAATAAAGCTTTAATTGAAAGTACTAGAAAGACAATTTATTTAGATTTGATTATACTTCACTTTGAGAAGTACTGAAATTTATCCATTTCAGAGAAGCTAGATAAAACTAAGTTAATGAAAATAACTATATCTTTGAGCTTAATATAATTTACTTTTAAAGCCAAGTGAAAGTATTAATAATGCAATGCACAAAATGTCTCTGCCTCGTAGAATGTCAAATGTCGGTAAAACACTCAACACTCTATTTGTGTTTTGTAATCACCACATTGCACCTTTTGTTAGTTATCTTGAGTTTTAGTTGAAGATGACAAAAATGGATTTATATGCTTCTATAATGTAATTTTTACTATTAAGGTATATTTTACATCTACCTATATTATAGGTATGGTATTAATTTTATAGGTAAGCTGGACTGGATGAGTCTGTTAAGTAGTCTATTGTCTTTAACAGGGTGGCTGCAATAATTATTGGTTTTCCTAAGTCTTTATAGAATTATGAAGAGCTACGACTCGCTCATCGAAGGCATGATACAATATCTTATACACCCAGCTTCATATTTGCCTATCCATTTGCTTATGCCATTCATAAGGACATTTCAGCGTTGACATGACAAGACTGACTGTGATTTTTTTACGGTGAGATACAAACAAATCTATTAATGACGTATGAAATAGTTAAGGAAAGTTTAGATGGAAACAATGAAACATTATGTGATTAGAAAGTAATACGTAACAGAAAGCTGGGAGTTGGAACGTACTCTAGATAACGAAAGATAGAGAAATAATATTGATATTCTTTAAACACATATAGCAATGAAAAAAATAAATAAATAGCAAAACAGAATAAAGAAAGAAAGTTAAGAACCAAACAACCGAAAATAAATTTCTCAGACATAAACTGGGTTATTTCGTATTCATGCGAGAACATGTAAACATACACAATAACAATTAATTGTCAAGGAATAAAGTGTAATGTTACTATCTTACATAACCATAAAAAAATGAGACAAAACTATTTAAAAATTATAACTTTTCAGTGATTAACCTGATTTCGTTAGAGTAAATAAGGGCTGTATGTAAATAATTAATTATATAAACTGATTAGAGTTTGACGCTATATGGAAGTTTATTGCAAATTTCATTTTCTCCTCATTTAATGGTAGAATATCATTATTTGGAAATATCAACTGTTTTACAAAAAATTACTCGACATTGTTGATTACAAGGTTATCTTCCTTTTACCGTAAGGTGGATTCAGATTTTTATAATGTAATATACAAAAACGAAAGCCGGAACGAAACAAATATAATGTGGCACGCTTTACATGTATAATAGTTGTATATTAAATTATTTTAAATTGTTAACTAAGTTGTGGATTTGCAATCGTTTTTAAGACAGTGAAAAAGACATACCAGCACTAGAGTACGTGATTTAACGTTATCACTTGAGAAATGACTTTAAATGGAACTGTGAAAAACTGCAATAAACTTATAGAATTTTGTGTTATCAAAATGTTAACTAAAACGATATGTATGATTAATTTATCAAAACAAAATCTGTATTATGTATATGCAACATATTTGGAATTAAGCGCTTTTCATCGTGCATCTCAATAAAATCCTACATTAAAGTCATTAAATTACTAGTTATTGTACCATAATATAAACATATCTATAACAGATTTATATTTACATTTTGATATAATTTTATAAAATTAGACAAGTTATACTTTTCAGCATGTAATCAATACCACATAAGTATTGGAACGTTACTCGTGAAATTGGTGTTCGTAACTAACTTAGATGTATATAATGCATTAAAGGTTTTTGTGTATCTACTTTTTTAAATATACTTCTTATTTTTAGGGTACTTTACAAAGCAGTAAATTATTATTCAAACTTATTTGCCATTATATTTGGCCAACAGAAAATTAAGAATTTCTACAAGTATAACTTGTAAAAAAATTAATTTAAACATTTTACTTTTAGACAGTTATAACACTGAAATTGTTGAATGTGTAATTACTGTTTTTTTTTCTAATTTTGTGAACACAACTTAAACGCTATAAATACATTTTATGAAAATATTTTATTCTACTCAACGATCTTATCGACATTATTTTTCATTTTGAGAAAATTCATCATCGTTGCCTTTTCAAAGGAACTGATATCCTTAAGTTCGTGATTATCATATTTAATGGCTTCTGGTTTCATTTCACAAACATCGTCAAGAGTTACGATGTGCTTTAACACCAGATTCAAAATGTTTGTTTGATTTCCGATGACTTCTGGTTTCACATTATCAGTGTCACAAATATTGTCAAGAGCTAAGATGTGCTTTAACACGTGATTCAAGATGTTTGTTTGATTTCCAATGGCTTCTGGCTTTATATTATCAGTGTCATAAACATCGTCAAGAGCTATGATGTGCTTTAACATCAGATTCAAGATGTTTGTTTGATTTCCAATGCCTTCTGGTTTTATATTATCAGTGTCACAAACATCGTTAAGAGCTACGATGTTCTTTAACACCCGATTCAAGATGTTTGATTTCCAATGCCTTCTGGTTTCATATTATCAGTGTCACAAACATCGTCAAGAGCTACGATGTTCTTTAACACCCGATTCAAAATGTTTGGTTGATTACCATTACTTTAATTGGCCTCTGTTTCATTTAAACGTATCAATCATTTTTTATCACTCATTGTATTTCCAATCGTTTCTGTTATAGTGCTTTTATCATTGTCTGTACACAAACATTCCATCTTTCCCTGAACATAATCTTTTTTTTTGTATTTGCTTGCTTCGTTATTTCCACAGTTTCGATCACCATTTGTCTAAAGTAATGTATCTTAGCAATATTTGTACGTGTCAGTACCGTAATTTTCAAAGTTACAGATAATGCACATCAATAAACATCATCAAATGACATAAGTGCAATTTAAAGAAAGTTTTTTACTCCTCGATAACGGTATAAAGTGAGTTACTGTAGTTTTAATTACAAATACTTACTTAATTTGAATGAAGTATACTAAAATTACTTAAAAGATTTCAAAAACAATTTCGCTTGACAAATAAATATACATATATATCGTTGTTTAATAAGTAATATATCATTTTTAAATAAGTATATATATATTTATATCACCTTTTAATAAGATGTATCTTTTTAAGTATACAATATTGTCTCGTACTGAACCAATAAGGACACAATAAACATGCATTTCACATGAAAAAGAATAACGCTGGACTATCTGATTACATTGTTCATTTCTCTCTCTTTTGTCAAAGACTTGTATTTGTATTTGTTTTCAACAGAAAAAGTAATATTTTATTTTCTAGAAACTTAATATAAATTATTAATGAGAAGAAGAAGAAGAAGAAATATCATGATTACGTGATGTTCTGATGAAAGCTGAGTAATGTTTTTTGTTTGAGGCTTTTACTAGTTTTTCATTTGATGGAAGTTTATGCTATGTCATAATGAATAATAATAATATGCATAAATTGTATCAGTGTTATATTATGCTTGTTTCTTTACAACCAGAGAAAATGAACTTTTCTGAGGTACTCACGTAAGTTTCCATTCTCTCATCAGAATCTGCATTCGTCTGTAAACAAACTTCTTAGATATTTCTGGCTTTGAAACAAAATGTTCTGAAAAAAAGTAAGTAATCTGTGCTAACTAATGGAATCTGTTAGTTGTTAAAATAAATATTAACTAGCTAGCTATTACTGGTTATTGCTTGCTCTATAAAGCTTTATGTTCACTTCTTAAATGTAGCTAGCTATGACATGAATGTTTGGGTTGGTTGTTAATACAAGTGAGGATCATGTAATTGAAAACAACATAGTCGACAAAAGTTATACCTATGTATATCAAGAACCTTTAGACTTACACGATAACTGTAGTCAAGGTTTTCATTGTACCAAAAGAGAAATAACTTCAAACATTACGTAGTTACTAGTATCAGATAATAGATAATAAATGTTAATAGCAATGAAACTTAACAAGCCCGATTTTCACTTTTCATGAGAGGGCAAACATAAGTGAAAGATAACATGAGGTTATAAACATTTTGCGGCATGATGTCTTCTCCCTCTCCCCCAAAAAGTTCTCATTGTGTAAACTTGCGCTAAACGATCCTTAAGAACATTTAAAGGTTTACACAAACTTGTCCATAAAATCACCCGTTTTTAAATATATCATTTGTGTTCCCAAAATATTCTAGCATGATTTTTATACAATAAAGTTCGTAAATTAGCAATTTGATATTGACAAGTACTTTGACTTCACTAGACAGTTGATCTTCTACTTTTAACTAGATCAGACAGTTATTAGGTAACTCAACTGACTGTTCTGAACACACCTGGTCACTCTTTCTGTTTTCATAGAGTATAAATATTTCATTCACTTAACGTCCATAGGAATCCCTTATCTGTCTCTTTCAATGATCTATAATCATAAGCGAACCAATAAAAGATCTCCGAACCTTACTTCTTTTTCTTATGCGAAAAGTTTTAGAAAATTAGATATTAATAGTTCCAAATGATAGAATGACGCTGTCAGATCACAATAATCGTACATTGCGCCACTAATGTAGGGTTTTGCAGATTGCATTAATAAATGTTTTACAGTTTTTTGTTTTTATTTTTTGTAGAGTATCATTTTGATATAAAATATCACAAAATTTACCCTAATAGAAGTAAGCATAATGATCAGAAAACTAACAACTAAATGCTCTTTCACACACTAAATCGTGGAATTTAGTTTCAATATGAGTGGATTAGACATTACTAAAAATATTAACACTAAATAGTGTTAACCTACCATTTTATCAATAGGTATGAAACATTGAATGATTTTAAAGAAAATCAAGTCGAAAACTAACATCTACCGATGTTCTACAGAAACTTCGAGCCTCAAATGACTTCAAGGACTAGGCTTCAATGGTGTTTTTAAGTTGTGCTAACTCACGACAGAAAATAGAAAAAAGTAATAAATAAAAGCAAATGAATAAACTTTATCCTGTCTCAGTTATTTTCTAACACTTAAAAATAATATCACAATGTTCAAAACAACAAACAAAACAAAATATTCAAATTACGTTAATCATAATTAAACAACTTTCAAAATAGCCAGCCAATAAAAATCACTATTTAGTTTTTGCTTAAGAAAATAAACCTCTCAAAGCTATCACGAATTGGAAATGACCCAATCAAATTTTAAGATGTGTTGATTATCAGCATAAATATTGGATCACTAATTATTCCTATCTCAAATGTAACAATCTAATTATCTTTGACCATTGTTGAAAAACATTTGTAATACAGATTTTTTGTTTATTCACAAACAAAAAGAGATAAAAAGCTATAGAACATGGTGAACGTTAACAACAAACGACTTTGTTTAGGGACCTGAAAGAAAGACAACCTGCAAACTACCTGCAATATAAAACATCTCTAGTAATATTCATAGAAACAAACTTTTACTCACCAAAATAGGGATTTTTCATAATAAAAAAAAATAGATTCTCAGCACATATTTTGATTTCTAGCTCACATGCAGTTACTGTTGCATCTTTTGATAAATAACATAATTTTAAACATTAAAGTATTTATATGGGATTTATGGGTTTGGTAGGAAATCTATTGTAATAAACTACAATACATAAGTTAAGCGATGTGTCCTATCAATATGATACGGCATATACCAAGGGGCGTATTCCAAGCGTAAGATAAGATTACACTAAAACCTTTGAAGAACTACAAGCCTGACACTTGACATATTAATAATGTCGCTTTCTAATAAGAGGCTGGAAGGATATGATGATGATGATGATGATGACGGAATTGTCGCCATCGATCAACAAAAATTACTCTTACAGAAATCAGTCTTCAAACGTGTTGGTAAGTATGTTAGGTTCACGTACCAGGATTTCAGTTTAGTCAATTTAGATATATTACTGTTTGAAAAGAACTATATACTGACTTTTTTATAGTTTACATATACTGGTATGAAATGTTCGTTCAATAATATTCTAGTTTATGATTATTATACATATATATATATATATATATGCGTGTAAGTTTTATATGTAAAGTCATTTTTAACACTGAAACACTTATCCACATCTATATATTATGCCTAACAAACTACCAACAAAATAAAATGCCTCTTCGATATAAAAAATGGTATAATTAGGTAAATAAATATACAACATATTCGAGAGACGGCATTTATTTAAAACTTTGATATTTTCACGTACTTTTTCTCAAATTAAAAATGCAGATGTAACTTAACACGTGTGTATGTTTATTAAATCAATAATTTCTAACATTTAGATTTAAATAAATTATTAAAATAAAATTTACTGTTGTAATATATTTACATTTAAGTATTGGGGCCGTTATGTAGATAATTATTTTACCAGCAGGCATTTAAAACATGTAGAGTTAAGAACATTAGTTTAGTAAATATGTACTGTAAAGAAAATTAAAATTGTATTAATATTTCTCGATCTTTAATATTTTCAGTTTTATAAAATACATGGCTTATACCTCTCACTTTCTTGCAGAATTTCAACATTTTTTCCCAACACGATATGTTCTTACTCTAATGGGGTTTTGGGGCTTTTTTAACCTTTACGCCCTTCGTGTAACCTTGAATGTAGCTATAGTAGCCATGGTAAACAGCTCAAAAGTGGAAAAAAATGTTACCATGATTGACGAATGTCCATTACCTAATAATGAGAACTCTACAAGTTCTGCAAAGGTTTGTCAATTTGTACATTTCTTACTAATATTTAGATACAAATACAATTTTTGTAATACACGTGCTATCTTCAATGACTTAAAAATATAATTTAGTTTTAAGATTCTCTAGATAGGTAATATTACCTATATATTATTAAAATGTTTGAAAATGTTTTGAGAAAATATTGAAAGATCATAATATGAATTCCCACGTTCTTCAAACTATTACTATTCTAGAGTCATATAAATCTCGCTAAAAGCTTGATGAGATTTAAACAAAGAGAAGTGGGCGCTCGATAAACACAACTAGGTTCTAATAACTAGTCCGTTGAAAAAAAGAGGATGCCAATATAACATGGCAAACTCTCTGAGAATGGAAAAGAAATATCCCTAATTCTCCAAATTAGTACGACTGATTGTCAGTTATCTATCATGAAAACATCTCACTATCTCTGTAATGTCGCACAGATAAAAATCCTTGGATAAAATGTAACAGATTCTATAACAGAAATGTTCTTTTTGTCGAATTAAATGTATTTGAGATTTCGTGGTTACGCCAGTTTGTGAGCAGTAAGACAGTCGCTTTGTTTCTACTAACATCATTTTCATTGCTAAAGGAAACAAGTCTCAAGCGAGTTATTGAGATCTACAGTGTAGTAGTAACACGTTGACGTTCACAGGTGTGTTTCTATTAAAAAATTGGTGTATGGCAGTAATAATTCCTACATTCCGACCATTATTTGCATCATAAGGTTAATCTTAAGATTTTCCTAAAGCTATATACACTCTTGAGCTAATCTGATAGAAAAGTTGGATTAACCATGGCAATCTCTAAGAGATAGGAAAATAAGTGTACGAACATGGGCAGATAAGTATGTAGTCTCGTGGGAAATTACCATTTATCAATATGTTAGAACAAAACTAAACCAGCATACATTAGTAGCACCTTTACCGTTCAAACCCCATAAGAGTGGTATGCATGTTAAAATTTTCCATTGTACATTGTTATCCAGTTATGTAATAAATTCTACAGAAAGAGGTACTAGACATATTCAACAAAAAGTACAATTAATAGTAACTAGGCACCATTATGAGTAACAGACAAAACACAGAAATACTATATAACCACTCTGCCTTAGGTAATCAGTCGGGTATCCTCCCTGTTAACGGTGTATTCGGCCCTTATCAATACTAAACCAATATACTTAAAAGTTTACTATCAATACTTCTTACCCAACAAATGGCACACACATTAAAATTTTTCGGACCACGGGGATGTCATTACCATCACTTGTTTTTCTTTTCCTTCTGTCAGTGGAAATGCTAAGCCAAAATACACGAATCTTAACAAAAAACTTATTAAATAATGTTTAGTTTCGATTTAAAATCATATAATTAGATTTACTTTTTCTAGCATCTGTTACGTTGTGAAAGTTCAAAAATTTTGTTTTTCTTAATATTTCATTTTTTTTTATTCTGGATTAGAAGGTTTTGTTATAAGTATATACAATCAGTTATTTTTACTTATCAGCGTTGGACACAGCTGATAACCCAGAGTAGCTTTGGTTTAAAACAAACAAACTAAAAGAGTGCTCCTTAAAATTAGGTATCTCTTTGCTCAACTCAATATACTATATGGCAACCATATTGTGTTATCCTATTGATAAATGTGAAAAACAAACTAGCCAAAAAAACATAGACTTAAATTATGAGTGTAAATGTCATATATATCTTTTTCTAAACTTCAAAGTAGGTTCAGCAAGATTAAAAAAAAATGTTCAGAGGCGCAACTGAAAACTTACTGATTTAGAAATGAAATAAAAATAATCTACATCAATTGAATAATAAATTAAATGTTTTTATTGTTAACCTAAAACGAGCTATACATTACATTGGCTTCCAGAATGTTGTAAATCACTTTCAGCAATATAATTTTGTTCTCCTTAGTTTTGCTATATCAGAACATTTGAAAAACAAATTACTGAAATGATAGGGGTAGTTTTGTTTTCTAAATCACCCAATAACGTTATTTTTAACTTCTCTAACTTTAATCTCACTGACATTCAAAAACAGACACACTAACAGAAGTAATGACTTTTACTTGAACAACTACAGAAAGAGACTCTCAATTATAAGCCTAATGTGTTTAGTTTTAGTTTATAGACTCGTGATTCCAATTTAGATGTATAATTCTTTAAAATAAAACAAGTACATAGTCGTCATACGTCCAGACAAAGAAAATGGTGTTATTATGAACACGATTGCTTACACCAATACAATTTATGGCATTTCATAAGAAACTAGTAAATTAAGTTAATTATGTTTTGACACAACTTACACATGTGAAAATAAATTATCCAGTCACTTTAGGTCTCCAAAGAAAGATGCCATTGTTAATTACGTTGTTATGAAAAAGTTGAAACCTTCAGTTTCACACCTTCGCCTAATATATTATATAATTATATTATATTATATTATATATTACTAACTTCACTTTCTCAGAACGCTATTATAAAGAATCAAGAGTTTCAAATTCTTAAACATCATCAAAAATCTAAAGTTAAATCACTAAACAACATACATAGCTAAATATTTATTAAATGGTTTCCCAAGATAAGCGTTTGAAAATATTCTAGAGTTCGTATGAAAATAGTTCCATTTTCTGTTTAATGGAGAAATCTGCAACGAAATTTATGATCTAGTTATGTTCAGTTCTCTGTCACCCTCCTTGTCAAATATGTTCGTAACACATCACGAAAAAACATAACTCACTCTTTAGCTGATTTCAAAAATTATTTTACAGATGCTTTGTTACAACACATTTATAATTTTCCAAAATCATGTTCAGGTTCACTCCTTCCCGAAAACTAAATTCAAAACTTCCATATCAAATAATCCCTTCTTTCCTGGTTTCACTACGTACGAGATCCGATAAGTTTTGTTTGTAAATGTAAATGAACCACAAAAGCTACACAATGGATTCTAGCGTTGTAAGTCCGCAGACATTCCGCTGTGCACGAAAGGGGGGGGGGGCGATCCGATAAGAGTTCTTTTATCTTTAATTATTATTGTAAGACTACTTATGCTGGTTCACAGTCTAATTTTCAAGTTTTTTCCTGAATTCTTTAAACAACATTTTAATTTTTGATAACTTTGTTAACCAATAGAGCCTATGAAAGTGATTTATTTTAAATCAAAAGTAGCTGATATAAGAAATAACTTATTTTAAAATGAATACTCTGCTCAGTTTACTGATTCCGTAATCACGAAGGCGTTAGAACTAATGAATAAGAAGGAACTGGTCAACATGCAAAGCGAGGAACGCAAACAATATCCAACTATTTGCCATATGTTGGAGAACTGTCGAACCAATGTTATATAACCTTCAAAAAATTAGTTTTTCTTATCGTCCCCAAGTTTCACTTTGTGTCATATTTTCGGAACAGCCTCGTGCTACAGACTGTTCAGATTTCAAGATGCTAGGATAAAAACACAGTGCCTATTGGTCCACTACAGTTATAGGTTTCAATCTTGTCAGACGTTCCAAGTCCGTAGTATGAAACGGCAATTACAAGTCTTCAATGAACTTTGTCAAACGTTTATCGCCCCCCATTGGCACAGCGGTATGTCTGCGGACTTACAACGCTAGAATCCGGGTTTCGATATCCGTGGTGAGCTGAGCACAGATATCCATTGTGTAGCTTTGTGCTTAATTTCAAATAAACAAACAATAAACAATCAAACGTTTATCTTCAACAAATCTAGCTTATACACGCCCACGTGTGCATGTTTCGTAATGGAATATTCCATCTCTTGATTTTCGAATTATCTCTTCAGCTTGTAATTAGTAATAATTAGGGATAAAGTAGCTGTGCTTACCAAAGATCTGAAATATTCCCTAAGCAAAACGGTAAATCTAAAATAACTACGTTTCAAGCTATAGGGCTCTGTTTTATCATGTTCTATGATAAAACTAAAGATGATAAGACTGCTTTATTATATATGTAACTACTGATTTTAGATAATCAGAAACTCATATTAATAGTGTATGATTATAAATTCAAATTAAGCTAAGAAATGATGATCGTCATTACTGCTAAGTGGAAAAAGAAATGAAGAAATTGTTTAATATTTGTTGACAATATGTTAATATACAAAAATAACATATATGTTAGTTATATGTATATTGTATTCGCGTCGTGCACAATCAAAAATGTAAAATATATTCAAAGAGACTGAAATAAAAACTCCTAAGGCAAACAGACGTGTGTTGTGATATTATATTTAAGCTTTTGAATAAAGTAATGTATTGTTAATTAAGACTGATTAGAGATGGTAACACTTACCAAAGTACTCTCAACACCTTTGAGATATACGACTAAGCATAAAAAAAAAAAAGGTAGTGCACTTGTAAGATATGCGAAGAGCTGACTTGATATCTATTCTGTTTTTAGTTGACAAAGAGTGATAACTCATGTAAGTGGTGCTCTATATAGATTGTAGGCTAACATTAGTTGATATTTCATGTCATGGGTGTTCTATATAATATGTTAGCTATAACTTGTAGATAGGCTAATATTAGTTGATAACTCATGTCATGGTTGTTCTATATAACATGTTAGCTATAATTTGTAGACAGGCTAATATTAGTTGATAACTCATGTCATGGTTGTTCTATATAACATGTTAGCTATAATTTGTAGACAGGCTAATGTTAGTTGATAACTCATGTCATGGTTATTCTATATAACATATTAGCTACAATTTGTAGACAGGCTAATATCAGTTCACAACTCATACCATGATAATTTATACTTAAGTATTGCTTTAAAATATCATTAAAAGATATTGTTTGTTATATATGCAGTGTAGAATAAATCTGGTAAGATATCTGGCTATAGAAACAGAAAGAAAAAATGTATTTGATATAGATGGTTATATACCGATTTTGACAATAAAAAACTTAATGATTCCACAAATTAACAAGGGTAACAATTTTGTATATTTTTTTTTATTTGTGCATCTAAACAAATTGTTAGTGTAAGGCTAGTTTTACATCTTACTAGCTATTATTATTTCTTTATATGGCATGGCATTACGTTAGTAGGTTAGTTACATTAGTCCCTGCCCATTACTTTAATTATTACATTTAGTAATATTATCTCTCATACATTTCGGTTAATTTTTAGGGTTTAACTTTACTTATTATTTCCGGCTATACACTATGTAAACAATGCGTGTATGGGATGAGTGTGGCTCATATGTTATATAAGCCCGTGTATGTTTCATATGAAATTCATGATAAAAATGAGTTATCAATTTATTTGAGGTACTTTTGAGCTACTTTTTTCTTTAACCATGTTGCCAATATTATTTTAACTATATTTGTTTTTTTTAGTTCAGAAGTATTAGTGCAATTTTCGCAGAGTCTTGCACAGTTAAATGTCATGATTTTTTTCTTTAACATGTAAAATGTTGTCAATAAAATGGTCAGAAATATTCTTAATAGTCTATGAAATACAAGGACATTTATGAAATTCATTTATTCAAATAACATAGTACAACTGTGAAAGTACTTGAACAACACCGAATTAAATTCTTTCTACATTTAAAACAGCTAAGTATAGGAATTAATGCCTACAGTAACTACATCTTAACATTTTAATCAAAATTTAGGTAACTGTAGTGGCACATGTCTTGTTAGATTTCTCCTTAAAGGGTATCTCCAAATGGAAAGATTAGCATCATCGGCCCGGCATGGCCAGGTGGTTAGGGCGCTCGACTCGTAATCTGCGGGTTCAAATCCCTGTCCCACTCGCCTTTTCAGCCGTGGGGGCGTTATAATGTGACGGTGGTGGTGATAGCCCGAAATCCATAATAAACAATTAGCATCATCGTCACCAAACACTTCACTACCCAAACTATTACTCATGGACTGAAGAATTCTTTGTACACATATGTTCAGCATCAACACGATCACATAACTCTGTACAGTTCATATGGTTGATGTGATATGAACAGTTTCGCACACAGTTGATTTTCTGGCAGCCATACTTAACCAAATGAACGAAAACCTCAAGATGCAGGAGGTAACCTTGTACGAACTGAAATGTATATGTCATTCTCTATTTCTACTCGTAATGTCTAGGCAATTTCATCTTTTCACGACACCATATATTTCCTTAAAGTATGAACGGTGTACTACTTCCTTCAGAGTTTCTCATCCTTCTTATTATTTTGTGTTTATGAACGTATTTCAACAAACCCATTGTTAAGTCATTTCTCTGTTTAATGTCAACGTATGCTATTTGAAAATCATTTATGTAGACAACATAGTCTTTCTTAAGCATAAGTGATTACCAGCCTTATAAATGTAATTTTGAGCCTCACCATGTCGTTACAGTCCATGTTGCCACGTCCGGTCATAGTCTTTCTGATTACCATGTATCTTGACAATGAATGTGCAGGGTAATTTCCATTGCAAAATGTTCCGTCGCTAAGCTGCCATATCCACAGCAAACCACTTCTTCAGAAAACAGTTTTAAGCGCCAATTTCTACAATTCACTTGCAAAGAAATCCATAGATGCTACTTGAATTGTTTAATTAAATTCGTCATATTTGTTTCTGAGATCATTTTCTGACAGCTGAAGTAAGCAATCATGTTTACTTGAAAGAGTAAGATATTAACTAATATTTTAATTTAAGATTACACCATTACTATATTTCAATTCAAGGCGTGTTATCTTGACAAATAGATAAACAAGAAATATATTATCAGTTACAGATCTAGAAGACTTTAAACGGTGTTCCTATATAACGTTAATTCTTTAACATTGGTGTTGCTGTAATTAATCATTGTTGTTGTTTTTCAATCTCGAAATATACTAAACTAAATTTTAATGTATAGATAAGTATAATGCAAAATAAGTAAATATTCTAAAGCTTTATGTATTAATAACTTATCTAATTGAAATGTAAATATATAAAATTCACGCTAAGCGTTTTGGGTTTGTTTGTTTAGGCTTTTTGCACAAAGCTATAGAAAGGCTATTTGTACATAGCCATCCCTAATCTTGAACTGATAGACTAGAGAGAAGGCAATTATTCAATAGCATCCACTGCTAACTCTTAAATTACTCTTGTTTGACCAATTAATTGTTTTCAACCATGACTCTGAAGATAGTAGCACGTTTTTGTGGAAACGGGACCGAAATAATGAACCCTCTGATTCACAGTCTCAATATGCTAACCACTTGGCCGTAGTGACACAGCATCTTGAGAGAAATATACATTTATTATCGTTGTTTACAGTTTTATTATCCCTGTTTCATGTTTTCACGTGCCATACCGTTTCTAAATAAGTAAGCTTTTTTTCTTTCTTTTTTTATAGGAAGGCGTGTTTCAGTGGGATGAAAAAATCCAAGGAATTATTCTAGGATCATTCTACTACGGCTATGTGGTGACTCAGATCCCTGGAGGCCGGATGTCAGAAATCTATGGTTCTAAATGGTTATTTGGAGGATGTTTATTAATCACTTCAGTTTTAAGTCTTCTGATTCCTGTTCTTGCAAGGCTTAATGTTATGGCTTTGATTGCTGCTCGAATTTTACAAGGATTGGTCGGAGTAAGACTTCAAATTAAAGTATTTCCATTAAATATATGCATATGGTCATTGAACTGAAATATTTTTAAGGAATATCTCTTACAAAGCTATATGTTTAATGAAATCAAGTTAATCACTTACGATTAGATCAAAGAGATCAGAGTCGGTCATTAAAAATGGATAGTTGTGCAAAAAAGATTTTGTTTTCTTATTGAAGAAAAGCAAACAACAGCCTGTAATAACGCTTAAGAGGAAAAAAAAAATATGTTGGCAAACAGAAAATTTTCTGTATAGGTTTACTGTAATACAATATATTCTTAGTAAAGATATGCTATCTGTTTTATAAAAAAATTACCCCGAGACCACTCATTTGGAAATATTACTCTATTTTTCTCAAAGTTTATATTTGATACTAAATATGCTCACTCATTAATTTTCTATCCATCTTTGATGTATACCAAACGCAAGCAAGCATGCACGCACACATATATGTATAATGTTTGTAATTAACTAAAGCTGCCAAATAGATTAGATACTTTTTTTTTCGTATTTCACAAATTAATTTATAGATTCAGCGATGTAGTTACTTATTTCACAAATACTTCTTGTAAATTAAGAAGTATTACTCACAGCCTTCAGAGAGTGTTTCTTGAATCATACAGCATTTAGTCATTTTATTCAAAAACCTGCATTATTTCTATGGTGTTTTATCATTCTTGGGACAAATTTCTTTCTTTATTAAAACATCTTCACCATGAATTAACTATTACAGAAGAAGGCTTGAGTAGCAGGAACAAGATTATCTTTTTAATAAATTTTCTTCATTTACAAAACATTGACGTAATATAGCGTCATGGTAGAACGGTATATAAATGAGCCGAATAAAAACTTAATGTTTGAAAGCATAATATGGTAAGCTAATGAAGTCGAATATGACTTGTTTTTCATTTTACAAAATTCGTTGTCAAGAATGCATAATTCTTAATGCTAATTAATGAGAAGCTAAACACATTCAGACTTCTTAGCTTGAAAAAAGTAATACATAAAGGAAAATAAAGCTTCGTTGGTTAACAATTAATTAAAGCTTCATTGGTTAATATTTTTCATCAAAAATGAATTAAAGCTTCATTGGTTAATATTTTTCATCAACAATGAATGAAAGCTTCATTGGTTAATATTTTTCATCAACAATTAATTAAAGCTTCATTAGTTAATATTTTTCATCAACAATTAATTAAAGCTTCATTAGTTAATATTTTTCATCAACAATTAATTAATGCTTCATTGGTTAATATTTTTGCATCAACAATTAATTAAAGCTTCATTGGTTAATATTTTTGCATCAACAATTAATTAAAGCTTCATTGGTTAATATTTTTCATCAACAATTAATTGAGCTGGTGAAAAATTATATTTCTCAAATAGGTCACGGTATGTTTGTTTTAACTCACTGTGAGCTAGATCACAAAAGTACATGTGCGAGAAAAATGAAAACAACTGCTTTTTTTTTGTTCCTTGGCAGTTTTGTTTTTCTTCTTTTTTTTAAATAAAGGGACCCAGTTACCCAGCAATGCACTCCATGTTAGGACGTTGGCTACCCCTCTCACAAAGAAGCTTACTATCTTCCATAATATACATGGGTGCGGAGATTGGAACAATGGTATCAGAGCTTCTCACGGGAATTCTTTGTGATTCAGACATATTGGGTGGATGGCCGTCTGCTTTTTATTTTTTAGGTAACACGACTATTTGTTGTTTTTGTTTGGGTTTTCATTATATTTCTAGACTACTACAATTCATTATGTTGAGTCCAACGGCGGCTTATTGATTTTGATATATGTTAAATCGTTCCTCATCATTGCAAACATTTCTGAGACCAACCAATGCAGTACATCCTGCATGTTATATTTAAGTACATCTCGTATCTTCTTTTACAAACGAGACAAATGTTATTTTTAAATACTATTACAGTTATTTTAGATAAGATATTTCATTCTGTTAATCATTTTTACATAAAATTCTTAACATTTTATTGTTTATGTAAATTCATGTTTCAAGTTGGGTACCGAGAATAAAAAAATAGAAAGCAAAGGAAGAAGAGACTATTTACACTGTCTAAATGTTTTATAAAATAAAACTAAGTGTGCTAATTGAATGAATATCTTTTTTCACATCCATTTACTGCTATGATGTTGCTTATATTGTTATTTTGTATATCGCACAAATAATATGAACAGAAACGAAAATTACTAACGAGTAAGCTTTCCGTCATTCTGCAAGTGAACGAAGAGAGTTTCCTTCGTTGTCATAACTTATACACTGAGTATTCACTTTCTTAGCATCCCCATCTAATGATGGATTTGACCACTTTCGCTACTCATTGTTGCATAAACTCCTTAAAGTACTGCAAGGTATTTTACCTGGTTATATTCCGTTTGTTGAGGAATATGGTCTGTAGGTGGTGCGCAGGTGTCGGTAAAGTATTAAGATGAAGTTCATTCCTGAGGTGCCTGAACAGATTGGGATCTGTAATATTACAGTTAAGGCAGATGACTGGAATCTTTGTCATGCTGTTTGAACCACTTTCGGTCAGTACAGTTGTTATGCATTATCGTCTTGAAAGATTTCTTGTCAACCAGTACGAATTAAAATATACAGCGTTTTGGAGTGGAAAAGATCGGCATCAACGTTCAGATATGTCCCGGATTTCATTTGCCCTCGTAAAACATAAAAAAAATAAAAGTTTTGTCACGATGAGGTTTCCTAGACCTCTAATCAATATCCAGCAACTTGTTCATGTATTTAATGAAGTTTTCTCCAAAGTTTTACTTTACCGTTTGTTTGTTTTAGCGCATAACTACACAACAGACTACCTGAATTATGACAAACTCGACTTTTACCGTTGTAAGCCCATAGCCTTATCGCTGACACACTAAGGGACTTACCGTTTGTGCAAACAAAGAAGAACACGACACATCATACTGTGTCATATACTTTCAGTCATTCATTGTCAACAGTTTACACTCTATAAAAAACCATTAAATCTGGGATTTTCTGTTCAAGTCTCTGATGAAAGGTTTTCAGAATGATTTTTAACTGCAATATTTGTAAGGTCCTTTGCATGACATGGTTGAAGTCAAATTCGTGACCAGTTAAAAGAAAATATGACAATACTTGATGCACGATACATTTCTAAGTCATCGGTCAGTGAAGCTTCAGTTTTCTTAAAAATAGACCTATTACTTTTCGATTATCATAGTTGATGGACATTGATAACAGGTTTATTTTAACAGACGGTCAACGAAACTACTATAGGTCTTAAAATCATAAATAATGTTCAAAGTTAAAACTGGTACACAATTCAAAACATTTTATTTAGGCCTATCTTACAACGTCGAAACATCTAGAGTCGTCAACTTTTTGAAGGCCATAGATAGGCCTAAATAAAATGTTTTGAATTGTGTACCAGTTTTAACGTTGAATATTATTTATGATTTTAATTGTATACACAAGTGCCAAAATAAAATAATTACTATAGGTCTTCCCATATCGTATCCCTATGAAAACTAAAAATATCATTTTTCTTATCCATTATCTTGCAGACTAACCACAGTGTTACTTTATCTCTGTATTTACAGAGAGATTTTGCAAAAAAATTGATGTATAACATGATTTCTTTTTTCTTGCGTATATAAATAAGCCGACTTTTCACAATTGTGTCTGTAGAGATTTATAATAAAATTACCAGTCAGTGTACAATTGCTTGGTGTCCAGTTTCTTTGGATGTCCTGCTTGACACTCCAAGTTGGTGCCACATTATCGTTGCGACAATAGTTGTTTCTTATAAAAAATTAAACTTTATTATTCTTTTATAACAAAGTTTGTTTGAAGTTAAGTACAAAGCTACACAATGGGCTATATGTGCTCTGCCCTCCACGGGTATTGATACCCGGTTTCTAGCGTTGTAAGTTCGAAGAGTGAATTCATCGAAGAGCGCTATTTATAATTTATTCATTTCAGCTATAACAAGCATACGTTTTAGACACGAATGTGTGTAATAAATTTAAATATTAATAAAAATATCCAAATTAAAATACTATTATAATACGTTAACATGCTTACATTCTTAACCACTACATTCACAAAAAAAAAAAACGTTAATTACCAAAAGCGATGCATTTAGACCGTAACAATCTTTTAAAGCGTAAAAGGAAATAAACAATAAAATTATAATATTAAAATATAATTCTATTTATTTTCCATTGTGCAGGTATAGCAGGAATAATTTGGTTTATTCTGTGGATGGTGTTAATATTTGATTCCCCTGAAAAACATCCAAGAATATCGGAGGAAGAGCTCCAATTTATCCAAACAAACCAAGGCAAAAAGCATGAACACAAGGTAGGTATAAATCTACTCAAAATGATAATCATTCTTATTTCCAATCAGAATCAAAATATTAATCTCACAAATATTTTCTTTTAAATACTAATTTCTTGCGCCCGGCATGGCCAGGCGGTTAGGGCACTCGACTAGCAGTCTGAGGGTCGCGGGTTTGAATCCCCGTCACACCAAACATGCTCGCCCTTTCAGCTGTGGGGGCGTTATAATGTGACAGTCAATCCCACTATTCGTTGTGTTGGCGGTGGGTGGTGATGACCAGCTGCCTTCCCTCTAGTCTTACACTTCTAAATTAGGGACGGCTAGCGCAGATAGCCCTCGTGTAGCTTTGCGCGAAATTCAAAACAAACAAACTAATTTCCTTTCGGTTTTCCTCGCAATTATGCCTTACTTAGTGCGTCATTAAATATATCTTTCCATATCCATCGTAAATTAACAAATATTACTATGACAGGCTACAGTTAGATGTAATATTAATCATGCTCGAATATTATTTTTTATATTTTGATAATAAATTTAAAAAACTAATAAGAGTAAATATATAAAACGACAAAAGAATATAGCTCCAGCTTGAGTTAGCATTTAACAGCAGAATTGTATAAATAAAAACAAGTTTTCCATGCAGATATGCTGATATGTTATAACGTAAATATCTTACAAATTTGGATAAAATATTTACTATTTATTATGTATTTTATAAGATTGAAAACATATACGTAAGTGTTCTACTTTGTTTCGTATCGCTGCTTATATGTAACTGAGTTATTACTGAACTGTTACCTATATGAATTTTCATAGATTTAATGATAAACAATGCTATCATATAAAATAACAGTAACTTTAAATCACAGAATCATTATTAGTTACCAATAACTTATGATCAAAACAAGTTATCTACATAGATCAGAAGTGAAAATTAACCCAGTAATTAATGTTGATAATTTAATACACTAATCCAATTAGTAATAAACAATGTCGTGAAACAAAAATTGATTAGAATGTATTGATTCATTACTTGTGTATCATCGCTATTATCAGTTTTTTGGTTGTAATGTCAAATATGTAGTAAGCACAAATTCCACTCTTTACATATCGTGCATAGATGTTTATGGTATAAGGGTTTGTATGGTACACGACCAAATTTTTTGTAATTCTCTGTACCAAGAATTTCCGTGTTATAATCTTCCAGAATTAATTCCTTTACAACCTACTTCACTTTTCTTGAATGAACAAAATGATAATCTATCTATAAAAGGTTGCATTAAAGCTGTTATATCTTATTAAACATTTTTTATGATAAATATCGAGATTCGTTACCATGAAGAAATTATCACATTATTTTAGAATATGGCGTTTTTAATCGTTTCAGTAACATTTTTTTATGCATGAAAAGAAAAAATAATACAGGGTAGTTTAAAACTTACATTGTTAGCAATACAGTAAAATGATAAGCTGAATAAAATAACATTAAGATGCAATTAACAAATCAATATGTAATGTAAACGAATTACTAGGAAGTCTTTGCAGCAGAGATGAAAGCATGTTTGCTGGTGTACTATGGAACATTTTCATCCCAAAACTACATGTAAGCATTTTTAGTCTAGCAATAGTTGTGTGTTTTTATATGTTGTAGAACAATGCCTTCGTGCTTTTAATGTACAGGGTGTCCCAGAATTCTGGACCCATATAGAAAATAAACATTATATTTTTAAAGTTAAACAAACACATTTTTAATGTCAGTTGTACATATTTCAGGAAATATAATACCATGATGGCACAGTATACCAAAAACGGATAAGTGTATGGCTGTTAATGGCATGCAACTGAATAATAAATAAATTAAGAATACATTTTGTATTTTCCCTATGGGTCTAGACTTATGGGACACCCTGTAAAGTATAAGGAATATGCAAAATATTTAAGACACAATTATAGCCTACCTAAGTATTGTATATGATATAATGCCAAATGTATTATTATACTTTTTGATGACAAAGTCGCATAAAGTCTTTTGTTTTCTTGAAGGTTCAATTTAGGTAAATGTTATAGAAATCATGTGCCTTATAAAACTCAAACCGTATATTTTATTATCAAATGCTATATCAGAGGAAAAAACATGCTTGTACTAAAGATTCACTGCTCTCATCATTACTTAATCTAAACGGAAGGAATTTTTTCATGGGTGGAATTATATTAGAAAATTAGTTGTGCATCATTACAGGAAGTATTATAACATCAGAAGTACGTTTCTAGACCAGCATTTCACAACATTTTGTACCTCAAGGCCCAATTAGTTATTTGGTACAGTAGTAAAGGCACATATGTATATGCAGTTGATGACTCATTAGTTACGGGTAGTCAGAACTGTCCCGTCCCGTGGCGCCTCATAATTGCGTGTTATCTCACGGCCCACTCACTGCGTGAGAGTCACTGCTCTAGACTAAGCTTATATACATATAGGTAAGGTGACTCTTTCGAGCGATAAGTGAATGTGATTACAAAGAAACGAATACAAACTTCATAAAGATGACATCCGCTGACCTGCTGTAACGCTTTCTATCGTTGGGCGAGGTGTTTTTGATTATTCGGTAAAAAGTATGCAGAGTCTAGTTCGCTTAATGAAATGAAAGCGTTTAATCTCTTCAATTGAAAGATATACAACTCACATGGTTTCAATAAATAACGATAGGCCTAACTTACAAATAGAACTAAACGGACACTTCTTAAAATTCCTCACATATCTACGGCATTAACTCAAAAACTGGCTGATTAATACACTCGCTAACTCAGTAATCGATCGATGTTACTGTGATAGACTCACTAACTAAGTAATCAACTGACTTACCCATTCTGATATTTTTCTACAATATCTTTTCCTAAAATCTCACGACAAATCGAGACTTGTTACAGGTCTTTTGCTGAACGGCCCTGGTTTCTTAAATTGATTCATTAAATTATCTCGTTTTCCAAGGCCATTAAATAAAATGGATATCCCAGACTACGAAATTCTGAATCCACGATATGAAAACACGAATATTTTTCTGTTAGAAAGGACTATTACATACCCTTCTAAAAGGCGATCAATTTTCGGCAGCACCAAGCTACTTACAAAACGCCAAACAGTATCAAAATTTAGTTTAGATAAATGGCGTTCCACCACGACTTTAACATCAACTGTGGTTATCATGTAACTTGCTCATTTGTACATTCAAATTCGTTTTAAATAAATTGCTCAATTTGATTTCAGTTCTGTAGTTTACATCACAAAGTTATGGAATTTCCGAATGGTAAGTATGATGGCCAGACACTCTTGTTCAACCACACAATAGTTCTTCTCATTACTCAACAGCTCTTTACTGATGCACATTATAGGAAACAGTTCGTCTACATGTTTTTGCAGAAGTACTGCTCCAATTCTAACATCTGATGCACCAGCCTGAACGATGAAAGGTTTGTTGAAGTCTGGCATTCTAAGGATTGGCAAACTTCCTTACATGTTCTTCAACTTCTAAACTTGTGATGATATTTTACAGCTCTTGGTACATATTCTGTCTAAAGTCCCATGATTAGCATCGTACAACAAGATAAGACAATTCATATTGTGTGTGTTTGTACTGTCTTGAATATCTTACGCCGCTAGTAATGAATTACTTGTAAATTGGATCATGGATAGACAGGACAAAAATGAATGAAGGAAGAATTGCTTTTCATTATTAAGCACAAAGCTACACAATGTATTATGTTGTACCTACCACAGGAATCGCACCATGAATTTTAGCTTTATAAACACTAAGCCACCGGTTGATGAAGAAGAGGAGAAAATGGTGACACCGTCGTCTAACTAGTATGTCTTATACAAACTTTGGCTCATCAGAATGTTAACAGGTTGCACAGGTGTTAGCTAATTCTATAACATTTGTTGATAATTTTCACCTAATTCATTAGTAATGGATACACAAGAAGATAAAAATAATCTATTCCCATCCTTCTTCATTCCCAAAAGCCACAGAAATTATGACACTGACATTTTGATAACGGTATTCGATTGCAAAATAAGAGACTAACACAGTATGTATAGAATCAGTTTACTCCCAAACTACACTGTTACAAAGGTAAATATTCCCATTGCCTTTATAGAACTACCACACTGTGAGTTCTTGGTGCTTCCACAAGAAGATAATTTTGGTTATTCTAGCTTATCTGAAGTCTGGAAAAAGAGAGAGAGTGAGATCGATCTTGCTCACTTACACTATATTACAAACTTCACGTATCTTACAAAGCTTCTTAACCTAATTCTATTCTGCTTATGGACATAGAATAAATTGGCACTGACAACGTTCATATCCACTCACATCAAATCTCCAGTGCCAACCACTTCGAAGAAATATTTCAAGATGTGACCGTCCAAAACTGCTAGGGTAAGTACATGAGTACCTCAACTCTGATTAAGGAGTCCTTAGGTTCATGTGTAGACTATTAGTAAACAACCAGTTCAACACGAATTTAAAACTAACTGAGAATACTTGTAAGCAATTTCGAAAATTTCACTAGAATATACCAGAATATAAATGTGTTCGCCTTTTAAGTTAGAAATGGTTATAGCTTAAAATAATATTTATTATTGTTAAATGCAATTTTTTTCAATTGAATTATGAAACTGAATACTCACTCACTATTTTTCCAGCAGAATATTCCAATACCGTGGAGAAACATTCTGACATCACTTCCGGTCTGGATGCTGATTGTCACTCATTTTGGGCAGGACTGGGGCTTCAGTATATTACTAACAGAACTTCCAACATATATGAAAAATATTCTCCACTTTGATTTCAAAACAGTAATGAAATTATATTATGTAATGTCTAGATAGATTTATAGTTGTTTTAGGAAGAATAGTCTGATTACGCAGTAAAATATAATGTGAGTACTGCTTATTGCTATAAAATGTTATATTACAAATATTAAACAACTTCTATATCTAAATAATCTTCAAAAGCTTATTATTCTTTAAAATATAAATATTTTCTAGTCACAGTAGATCTATCATACTATGTTAACAAAAGATGTCATAGCATGTTAACAAAAGATGTCATAGTATGTTAACAAAAGATGTCATTGTATGTTAACAAAAGATGTCATAGTATGTTAACAAACGATATAACTATATTAACAAAAGATGTCACACTATGTTAACAAAAGATATAATAGTATGTTAACAAAAGATGTAACAGTATATTAACAAAAGATGTCACAGTATGTTAACAAAAGATGTCACAGTATGTTAACAGAAGATGTCACAGTATGTTAACAAAAGATGTCACAGTATGTTAACAGAAGATGTCACAGTATGTTAACAAAAGATGTCACAGTATGTTAACAGAAGATGTCACAGTATGTGTGGTACTTGTAGATATTATTCACTATTCAAGCAAAAGTAGTGACGAAAGTCTTCGGTTCACAATACTGTTTAAAAATATGTTCATTTCTCATCACAAGAATTTGAAAGGACAGTCCACAGAATATTCTAATATATCTATCTAAGGAATTCAAATAAGTTGGAAGTTTTCTCAGGACCTTGCTTTAAGTTCATTTATTATGAAATAATGAATAATTTAACTGACATAAATATAAGCAGAAAATAGAAATACACTTGGTGTACCTCGATGTTAAACAACAATTCCTATTCACTTCATAAGAGAGAATTTGAAGATATACGTTAATATTAAGTTGTTTATTAGTTTGATATATGTTTTATTAAAAATATGTTTCGTTGCGTTAAGCACAAAGCAACACAATCTATGCTGTGCCAACAACGGGTATTGAAACCCAGTTTTTAGTGTTATTAGTCCTCAGCCTTACCACTGAGCCACTGGACGACAAAACAATACTCACGTCATAAAAAAACAACATTTTTCATAGTATATCAAACCTGGAAAACCTTTATGAACATGTTTATTGTAATTTACAAAATATATACATTTCTTCTCCTTGAGGGCGATTCTATGCCTAATTGATGTGAAAGGTAGGTTTGCTTATTGGACTGAAAAGGTGAAAAATGATCACATTACCTTCGTTTAAACTTGCATAGAGCTAGTTCTGTTATTTCCAATTTACTAGCTAAAATGAAAAATACTAAATGGTTAGGTGTTATATTAATATACTCAACACTTGGTGTACCAGATGGAAATGACAACCTGGAATTGATGATAACATTAGGTTTACATGAAATTGTATGGATACAGGCTTGCCACTTTGAATAAACACGCATGAATACATAATAAGCACATAGGACTTACTTAAACTCATATAAACACACAATCAAATTTCCAAGTTAATCAACTATTACCAAAGAATATTTATTTTCATCTTTACGAATGATACAGACAGTACAATTTTGGGTGGTTTACATAAGTTTTATCTGTTTATTTTTATTTAGGAAACACTTATATTTACTTTTATAATTATAGAATGGTTTGCTATCTTCTCTCCCGTATTTATTTCGGGGAGTATTTGGCTGGATAGCTGGATGTCTAGCGGATTTAATCAGAGGGAAAGGATACATTGGAATGAGTGGCACTAGAAAGATCTTCAACACTATAGGTAAGTGCAAAAAGGTCTTAATAACTAATAGCTTACATGATTACATAGTACGTGTGATTTCATTGTAACTCTTGGAAGAATGCTTTATAATGAGATATGGCTTAACTTATCAGCTAATTACAGCTCAGAAAATACTTCGTATACAGTACGGTGCAAAAATTAGGGACGACTCAGTCATCCATATGTATTTTACATTCAAAACATCCTAAATTTATTTCATTAATGCCATGCTTAGCTGAAATAACTTCCAAAACCGATGAGAGATGCTTTCTTCAAGTTTTTGGAGAATTCAATTCCAGTTTTCTTGAAGTACTGCCCAATATTCCTTCTTTGATTATGGTTGCCTCCGCTGGAAGCCACACACAGAAGTATGCAAGAGTTCCATCTGTTCCCTTTTTATTGGGATTATGTTTTACTGCACTTACTGTATGTTTGGGATTGTTATCATAATGGAGAATGAAATGTTTTTTCCATTAAACGACGCTTAGAAGAAATAGAATGATGAACGAGTATTTGTTTATGTTGAGCAGAATCCAGGAATTCGTCATTATGGTAGATATCGATCACCAACTCCAGTTGTGGTTAAACAGTCATATTTGAATGCTACCTCCACCATACTTAATTAACTGATTGCAGACAATTATTCTTTAATTTCTCACCACTAGTGCGATGAACTACTGATGTTTATTGGTACCAAAAATCTCGCAATTTACATCAACAGACCAAAGTAATCTTTCCCAGGTACAGGTTGTCCAGTTTTTGTAAATTTTTGCAAACTTAAGTCTCTTATTTTTCTTACTTTACGGAAATAAAGTCTTTGTATCTGCAATGCACCATTTTAGCAATACAATCTACGTCGTACTATGGAAGGCCAGTGATTTATTAAGCTTTGCTGTATGGTAGCTGCTAGATACACGTTTGTCTCTTGAGTGAAATAAGCTTTAAGTATTTAACACCTAACCTGGGAAGACCATGTGGTCTTTCGAGACTGTTCTTGTCTTCAGTGATACCAGTTTCAATCCATCTTTTGATTATATTTAGAAGCCTTCTTTATACAAAGCTATTATACTAGGTCGTGCTTCACCAGAAAATGTGTCTCTTGGAGCCATATTTCGTTCTTGAAGGCAAAGCACTCATGTTAGAGTCACAGACTATAAAAAAACTACTTTTTTACAAAATCAAATAACAACATCAAAGATTAAGGAGTCAATGAATGTGTAGAATACTTTTTGATGTTCGAAGTCAATATAATAGTTATACCATTAAAAGCTGCATGTTCTAACTTTCAGAGACATAACTATTGTCAGTTCTAACATTTTTACACCTTATTGTATGGAATATACATTTAAACCAAACATATTATTTGGAAAATATTTAAATAAATAATGGTTTTAGATTAACTTTATTGATATATTTCATCATTGGATACTTTTAGCACAGGAGACTCAATGGTGGTCTCTAACTTATTCACAGTGGTGTACTTTTTATAATAGTTATAACTAGATAAAGTTTCATTTAAGTTGCAGAGCAGTGGTATTTCACCATTTATGCAGATTATTTTATTCAGAGTGCAAAACACGAAAGCGAGTGAGCAAAGAACGAAATAAAACAAACGAGACAACTGCTTTGGTCTTTATTTCACAGTTTATTTAAATCTCTTTTTTTCTAAATAATATCTAAAGGCATAAAATTAGTATTACGTTACAGCTATTTATGAGAGACGAGGTTTTAACAGTGAGCAAACTTGGATTTTCACTGCTAAGTGTGAAATGGCCGTTCTTTTATGATAATCTAAATGTTTTATATAATTTTGGTTTGTTTGAACACTTCGCTCTCACGAAGGTATTGGCAATATATTTTTACCTCAATTAATCCATGAAGTTTACTTTTCAGAAATATTACTTATATATTCTTATATGAGTAACTATATATGATATTGGTTCTTAATATCACTTTCTTGTTTATTATAATTCATAAGCTACACGTACTATAAAATGAATCTAACAGTAATCCATTACCTGCTGACCTAATAACGTTTGGCATGTAATGAAATTCAATCTTTCTGAAAATAAAACTTGTTTATAAGATAAAAATAAGAACTTTTTTTTTAACGACTAGGTTGTATAGGACCAGCTTTGTGCTTGATTGGCGTAGTTTATGCAGGCTGCAATAACACCTTAAATGCTGCTCTCTTTACTCTAGCCATGGGTTTTAGTGGATTTTCATATGCTGGATATTTAGTGACCCACATGGACTTGTCTCCTGACTTTGCAGGTATATGTTTTAATAATTTAGTATCTTAAAATATTTGTTCTTTTTTTTCATTCGAGAAATTGCTTGGAAGTTTAGAATATCTTACAATCATTCAATCCCTTCTATAAAATGTTTTGAACAAGTACTTTGATGTAAACGTGTGAAATCACGTGGAAAATGTAATATTATTTAATATTTACGTATAATTTTGAAAGAAGATTAAAAATTTTAATACTCAAAGTAACAATATCAACAAAGCTATCTTTAATAATGGTTGGAGACGGCTTGAATGATGATGATGACAAAACCTTGTCGAAACTTTATACATTTGTTGTTATGTTAAACCTATATTAAAGTTTTTCTTCATTATCCATTCAAGCCGTCTCCAACCATTATTAGTCGCAAAGTGGGTTCCTCGTCATCAAATTTGAAAACTATCTTTATCTACAATAGCTTTAAAAAGTTTCCAAATATTTTATTTTAAACATCATTGCTAGTATATTAATACCATACAAGTTCCTAAATTTACTTAGCCAACTTTGCAATCACGAGTTTCTTATTAAATGATATAACTTCGTTACAATATAACGTATCTAATTTTTAAAGGTGATAATAACCACAGCATCTAGAAATCTAAAAGATTTTCCATGTTTATCACTTCTGCACTTTTAATGTTTCCAGAATATTTATTTAGTTACTATATTTATGTTCGTAACTTGGTAACTACAAATTTGGCATTTTTATGAGCTGTTCTGTCACATTTGAAAATATATAAATGCTAGAAAATTCACGTACAGAATTTTAGCTAAACTAAAATCACCAAAAAGGTGCTTTAAGTACTAATAAGTTTAAAAACAAAAACAAAAGTCAATGATTTTTTGAAATTAAAGTTTAAAACTTAATTTTAAATATTTTATTGTTTAAAGATGTAAATATACAGTTGAAGTTTTTATGAATGTTAAGAGAACTGAGTATCTTTGAATTAATATAATTATCAGCCTTTTAGGACTTCTGTCTTTTCCTCTAATTTTTATGTGCCCGCAGAGAAACATACATTCTATTATTTCTTCTTGCTTTCTTCTTCTTCTTCCAAACACTTTTCAATCGACCACAATTCCTTAGTTTCTCAACAGATCGACTTGAACCTCAGTAGGGTTATACCTTGGTCCAATACACCCAGACACCTTTTTCATTTTTTATTTAGACATTTTAAGGATTTTATTAAGTCAAAAGTAAAACAACCCAAAAAGTATATATTTTGGGCTCCTGTGCGGTCATATTCACAGCAATCAAGGTGGAAATTGATACAAATATATACTTTTTTGCACCGAACAAGTTGACTTTAAAAAATGGAGTTGCCCATTTTCAGTAATCGTAGGGTGATCAAGATGCCACAAAAAGCTAACTTTTAGGGTTTTTTTTACAATCATTCTCCCGTGTTTCGGCCAATCTGCATGGGACCTGGTATAAAGATATTTTTTTACAGGTCCCAAATAAAGATATAGACAATTTGGGAATTTTGCTAATTTTTTCAGCGAAGAAAGCATAATTTGGGGGTTATGTTAACTAACCATGTGTATGTCAACCACCTTACATGGGATTTGATACAAAAATACTTTCTTGCAGCAGGTTCCAAGCATTCATGTAAACAGTTTACGAGTTTTCTGTGATTTCGACGATTTTTTAGCTGTCAAAATTAGCCATTTTGGGATTGCGTGGCAGAGACATGTTGTATTCGCCCGCGAATGTTGGTCTCTTTAATATGAATCATTCTGTATGAAAACCATTATAAAACATTCTTATACAATATAAGAACTTAAGAAACAAGTGGTTTATCAAAAACAGTTTAGTCCCATCAGAGTGCACAGAAGAATCACCATTTCCTAGAGACATGAAAACCTCATTACAATTGTCTTTCTTAGAATTACCCATGAGATAATTTATTTCCTAGAATTTCATTAGTTTACAGAGTGTATAGGACGAAGATATGCTCGTCCCACTGAGATAAAGTAAGATAAATACTATGGAAAAAACTTTTAGATTTCCTGTGGAAATTGAGCCAATTAGATTTGATGAAATACAGTTCAGGAAATCTGTTCTAATGCTAAAATCATCCAGAAAAGTTGATATAGACCAAGATTAATGTTTATCTATAACCAAAACGTTATAAGGAAAATCATCAAAAGGTGATTTGTTTCAAACTTTATAAATACTGGACGTAATACTAATGCTATCAAACAAATACGTTCCACAGGAAATTATGAATCATGTTAAATATACTATACAGAAGTTTTGAGATGATTTTTACGCGGGGTCACCATATTTACAACCGGAAGCAAGAAAGATGTGTAGCCAAACGTAGCATATGGGAAGTTTAGAAAAGAACCTCAGAAACCCTTTGTAGCAAAAGGCGGAAAAGAATTCAGATGAAAAAGCTCAATCGTGAAATCCGGAGTAGCTGGACAATACTAATTAAATTCAGCTGAAATTAAGTAGAAACTCTCTATTTTGATATAACTCTCATTATGAAAAAAGTCTATGTTAGAAAACATCCACAAAAAATGGTGTAATATAGATATATGAAAAAACATTAATAAAACTACTATTTCCCAAGAGTGAAAAAAATGTAATAATTCAGTTAAAGTTGTTGTTGTTTGAAGTTAAGCATAAAGCTACACAATACGCTATCTGTACTCTGTCCACCACTGGTATCGAAACGCGGTTTTTAGCGTTGTAAGTCTACAGACATACCGCTTTGCCACTGGAGTGGCTACAGTTAAAGTAGTGACAACTTCTCATCTTGATAAGAAGGTATGAAAATATAAAATATGCAAAGATGAAACTATTCAGTTCTATATAGTTTAAGTCTCTCTGAAAATGGTAAATATCAAGAAATGTATATAACATCAGAGGTTCGGTGTGTCTATATTAATACTAACATCAATGAGTTAATTCTCGTACACAACCCGCTCTTTGTAAATGCTGTTAGAGATACCACAGAAGTTGTGTTTGAAAGAAAAAAGGCGCACAAACTTCCACTGCTCACAGAAACGTTTTTACTTAAACAGTATTTGTCATTTGTCCATCTCCTGAAGAGCCATTTAAGATGTCAGTTAGTATTTCGTACAAGTTGCTTTATCGCAAATACATACAAGACGGAAAACAAAGTAGATTGTCAACGATAGAACATGTTGAATCTCAGCAGGAAAAAACAAACAACGAAGATTGATGCATTTAGAGTAAGAAGCTTTTAGGTTAGGGATTGTACTAGTTGTTATTTATGAAATCCATTACCGTTACAGATTCAAGCTCACCTGTTCATTATATTTCACCTGTTCATTATAATCTGAAAGACTAGATGACTACAATATCTCCAGAAATAAGAATTACCTATCATTCACTGACGTTTTCAGATCTACTGAAAAGCTAATACTTTACTGTAAATATTATGAGAATCATGAGAACCATGTAAATTAACAGAGTCAGTCTCGAGCATGACATATTGAAATTTTACTAATAATGGGTTTAAGTGGTCGTTGAAACAATTGAAAGACGTGCACACAGAGTCTATCTTTTCGTTCATTATTTACTATGGTTTAAAACGCAGTCAGAAAAAATATCTTTCAAATGGTATCTTACTATTATCAAACATCTGTGATGTAGAGATAAACATTTAAAGAATCAGCGCTGTTCCAGCCACAAACACATTTTTATATTCACATAATCTTGAGAGTTGGGCATTTTAATGCGAAAAACTTTCTAGATGGTTTTTGTTTATATATGTTGTTTGCGACTGATATATGGAAATGTCTATAGAATAAACATGAACAATTTCAACAGTTTATGGTCTGAGCGAAAATTTGGAAGAGCAGCTTTTTGTTTCATCTCCAAGAGCAAGTAATAGACAGAACTACACGAAGATAGTAATGGATAAAAAAGGGGAAGTTAAATCAACTAGCGAACTTAAGCTTCAATGGCGTGAAGATTGGTTGATGAGTTTTTAAGGACACTGACCTCTGCATAAAACTTTTTCTGGCCAAGTAAAGAATTCTGATTCAATGTTGTTTACTGAAATGTGTAAATCTTAGGTATCAAGAAAACCAAGTCAAATACCCATAATCTTTCCTCGGGTGAATTGTTAAAACTATCCAACAACATGTTAATTAAATCTACTATCTATATAAAGGTAAACTTATGAAAGACGAAATAAATGAGCACACAATTTTCCACTCCCATTAACGAGATACAAAACCGCGACAATGGTTCCACGTCATCATCTCTGAGCTGCTAGTAACAGTGAAGCTGTGGCGATGGGAATCCACTCAATGTGATGGTTCAGAGTCTATATTATGATCATTTTTATAATTAATGAAACGATAATATCCTACGTTTCAACTGTTAATTTTCTTTCGACTCAAAAGAATCCGGAGAATATTAGGGGTAGTGAAGCCAAGATGTAAACATGGGTTTTCAAACTGGAAGAAAAAGATGCTTTTCACTTCTATGGAGATTGAATAGGCTACTAACCATGGAAATTGTATCTTATTTTTTGAAAACTAAAGGCGCCTTTGGATGTCTTCCTATACTCCACTCTTATCATAATAATTGTATTATTCCATTCCCTTGACTCTGGGAAAACAGTTTCCTGTTATAATAGAAGATATATTGATGTTTGTTTGTTTTGAATTTCGCGCAAAGCTACATGAAGGCTATCTGCGCTAGCCGTCTCTAATTTAGCAGTGTAAGACTACAGGAAAGGCAGTTAGTCATTACCACTCACCGCCAACTTTTGGGCTACTCTTTTACCAACGAATAGTGGGATTGACCATTACATTATAACGCCCCCACGGCTGAAAGGGCGAGTATGTTTGGTGTGACGGAGATTCGAACCCGCGACCCTCAGATTGCGAGTCGAGTGCCTTAACCACCTGGCCATGCCGGGCCCTATTGATGTTTAATGGTTGTTTTAACATAATGTTGTCGTTCTTTTATCTGTTACAGCACTTTTAGTGTAAAGTTTCCTACAAATCAAAGTCCATCCATTTGAAGAATACTACACACATTACACATTAGTTTGCAAACGAAAATCTCAAATCAGTCAGAAATAATATGTAAAAAACAACATAATTGCAGTGCTGATATGATTATAGAAACTGAAAAGAAAGAGGAGTGAGGCTTGGCAAGGTGAAAAGCCATATTGGAAATCTCCTTCACCCCATCGTTATAGATGAAGGTGAAAATATATATATATATATTTGTCAGACTTGCTTCTTAATCAATTTATGAAATATATGATGTGATACTTTTAATTCTCCATCTGACTTAACAATTTTCGAATAGTACAGTTGCATATAAGGGTACTTATGCTATCGTCATGTCAGATGTTCTGATATAAATGTAAAAGTTGTCGTACTAATTTTCATACGAATATTAAGTGGATATTTAAATTTTTGCCTGATATATGTCATTATGAAGATGAAGTTTTTATTAAACTAATTAGGCGGCCTAATAGTCGCTGTCGTAATTTTACTTAGCATTTTAAATTCAAAGATTAGACTGTGAAAGTAAATTTTCAAATTTTTACGAGAGTGTGGAATTTAGGTAAACATTTAAAAGAGTTCAGAGAAATTATTTAGAGCTCTCTAAAAATTACTGACTAACATTATCGCTCAATAATCTAAGTAAATTTATCATATTAGATTCGTAGTTTAATGTTCACGAACTTGCAGCTCTTTATCTGTATTAGGTTTAGATAATCATCACAAAATGTGAACATTCTACGTGTTTTTGATGTTAAGGTAGAATAATAAATCTATTCTACAATTGTGTTTGATTAAGATATTGTAGTGCAATAATGTTACAATACATTGCAATCCCAATTAGCCACGTTAATAGCGTTAACTGCAGGCTCTGTTTAGCTTTTTAATTAGTTTAGACGTTTGAAATATTAATTGGCAAGAGGGGGCAATGGCTTCGTGGAATGGATGTAGCTTAACATGTAGAATCTTCTTGAAATCTTAGAACACTATTAAAGCTATTTATTTATAAAAAGTGAGTTAAAGAAGAGTAGCTCTTACGGTTATTGTGCTATCGAGTTTGCTAGTCAATTTGTCTTTTACTATGAGCCAGTTAGTAATTTAACTCAATTTCATGAACAATGAGCTTATACTTCATTGAAGTAATAGAGATACGAAAAAGTGTCATTAGTACAAGAGAAGCTAGAAAGTATGTGAAATTCTTGTATTAGCAGTTACTGTGGAGTTGTGCCTGTTATCGAAATTAATTAAGCTGATTTGTAGATAATCTAGTATAAATATAAAATGCAGTATACAACCTAAAACAATCTGCTCAACAAAAGAAACTGTTACAACAACACGATAATAATCAAATTGAAAGTGTTAACAAAGAGTATTTCACATTAGGAGGTATAAAATAGTTGTTAGGTAATAAAAAAATTCATGATCTGGGAGTTTTGTTGTTGTTTTAGAAAAATGAGCTAACTTAGAAACATCAGAATGTTAGTCAAGTTACTATCAAATATATGAGCAAACACCCATTTAATTACCTCCAAAAAAACTTACCGAATTTCTTGATGCATGTTTTATAATATGTAATTAGGTAAAAGGCTCCAGCCATGATATGATTCAGAACACGGTCTGCACTTTCAGTTATAATAGTGCTATATTTGTGAAAAAGAATCCGGCTATCCACCCCACAACTAGTTAAATTATGAATTGGAAAGATTATCTAAAATATTCACTCAAGAGAACGATTTGCCTAAAAGAACTTTTAGGAAAATAATTAATGAAACTAATGTTGAGAAGTTATCCCGTATTAAAACCTATAAACAGCCACACAGGAAAAACATTATCATAAGCGCAATTCCTTTCATTCAAAAAAATTAGAGAACTCCTCAAAAAAGCTGTGGAAACGACAACTGAATATAGAGCATCAACATCAGTTTTGTTGTTGTCATTACACACAAACCATAATTAAAAGTCAACAATATTGTGCAACATTATCCTTGCGAAAGGCAAAACAATGAATCAGTTTATGAAGTTAAGTGGAGTCTTTGTGATCATTCTTACGTAAGTGAAATGGAAAAAAATCGTGTCAACCAATGTTTATCAAGCTAAAACATCATTTTAAAGGACCCTCGTATGTTTGAAACATTTCAGAGAAAACACACTCATCTGAAAACAATGTTAAAAGTAAACGTATAGAAACTGTCCTGAACGGATAGAAAACAGCTTAAGCTATGTTAATCGAACATACAAAACATTAAAAAAATACAAAAAAATCTTCTCTATTAGTTTACCTTTAAACAGAGAACAATCCTCATAATAATTTGCAGCTAACCATTTAATAATATACTCCTCCAATCTAACGCCATCTATGAGGCATGCTTGCAAATTTTCATATGCTTCTTGTGCTGTAATTTGAATCATGTAAATATTGTTAAAATGTTAAAAATCGCCCTAACACGCTCTAAATTGCTTTTATAAAATTTAACTTTCTGGCTTATATTTTTCTACATGTTTAACTTGTGTTAAGAGTGATTCTCGTTCGCTCCCAAGTGGCTAAGGCCCGGCATGGCCAGATGATTAGGACACTTGACTCGCAATCTGAGGGTCGCGAGTTTGAATCTCCGTACCACCAAACATGCTTGCCCTTTCAGCCGTGAGAGCATTATAATGTGACGGTCAAACCCACTATTCGTTTATAAAAGAGTTGCCCAAGAGTTAGCGGTGGGCGGTGATGACTAGCTGCCTTCCTCCAGTCCCCAGTGGCGGTATGTCTGCGGACCTACAACGCTATAAACCGGGTTTCGATACCCGTGGTGGACAGAGCAAAGATAGCCCATTGTGTAGCTTTGTGCTGAATTCCAAACAAACAAAACAAGCCTTTCTTCAGTCTTTTAGTGCTAACTTAGAGATGGCTATCGTGTTTCGATACCCGTGGTTGGAACAGCACAGATAGCCGATTCTGCAACTTTGTGTTTAACAACCAACAAATAAACAACGAATCTTGTTATTAAATAATATTACGCCAAATATTTACTGTTCTCATTTGTGTATCCATAAAACATACGCAAATATATTCGTTTGTCTTGAATTTCGTCTAAAGCTACTCGAGGGCTATCTGCATTAGTCGTCCACAATTTGGCAGTGAAAGACTAGAGAGAAGGAAACTAGTCAACACTACCCACTACCAACGATTAGTGGGACTGACCTTCACATTATAACACCCCATGGTTGAAAGGGCGATGGGGATTCGAAGCTGCGACCCTCAGGTTTTGGAAAATAGAATACTGCATTCGGAGTAACGTGTATGTGACTATAACTTTTGTTTTGCAGGAACATTAATGGGGTTATCTAACGGACTTGCCCAGATGACCGGATTCATTGCCCCAGCTTTTGTTGGAAGTTTAATAGAGCACAATGTAAGTCAGAATTATTTTCACTCTTCATGTTTTTTGTTGTTGTATTTTGTAACACGCTTATGTTCTGTCAAAACTTTCATTTTTTGGAAATATGAAGATAAATATGAGACTCTTTGGAAGCCTTAGAATATCAATGAGTATCAATGATTATGGGAGATATAGTTCCAAGGATGTAGTACAAAGGACAACAAATAGGAGCACATGGCGAAAAATGTGACTTATATGTAGTCACATAAACCAAATGATTTATAATCAGCTCAGGTTTGGTCAGATACCAGTTATGAATTTTCAAATTGAATTTTTAGTAACTAAATGAAGTAAAAGTAAAAAATGTTTATATTAAGAAGTCATTATCTCCTATTTTTCGTTTATTTCCAATCAACACTGCAGCGAATGCAATATGTACAATAATAATAATAGAAAATTAAGAAGGATTAATTCAAACTACTTCCTTCTTGTACCACCATGAATGTCTACAGAAAATAGTAATCCTTTCGCACGATTAAGAACATACCCCAAACCTTTGTAGGACGGAGTGATAAATTTATATTATTTTGGGACCTTGTTTCAGATTTCGTGTTATTACTGTGAAAAAGACAACGTTATGAATAACTAGCTTGATGACAGCCTGACAACTCGTGGAATTACTTGTTTTAAACTTTAAAATGATTTAGTGCGAAATTGTTTTTGTATTATTCGGTACTCAACTTCTAGTAATACGTTTCCATTATTATTATCTTTGTTCAAGCAAGCTAGCTACATAGATCAAAACCAAAATTAACTCATTAACGAATAAAGTTATTTTAATATACTGTTCTTACTTCTAATAGTTAAAATGCATTGTTTCATCACTTGGGTACCTCTGCTGTTAACAATACTTTCAGTCTGTATTCTGGAATATCGTGATACTCTGTTACTGCTAAAAAGTGAAGATGAAGTGAACGTTTAATGTTCAGTTGTTGCCAATGCTCCAACATTCCTGATGTTGACGTATGTGACATGGTCTTATACTAACTCATGTTGTGTGTTTGTGACTTTGTCCGCAAATTCCACCCGCAGTTATGAAGTTAGCAGGACCAAATTTAGCAGACAGACTGGTGATATCAATGGGAGTGTATTTATCTGTATGACATACATCCCTAATAAAGGTAGTCTAAAATGCGCCAGGAAGATAATTCAGTCATTATAATGCTTTAGGAATAGGTTGTTAGGGTCGCCGAACACAAATTTGGCATCGTATTTTGTGTTCCTGGCTCCCCTCGGGATACCGTTCATACCCTCCCTCGCAAGCTGGTGGGACAAAACGTGACATGTCTGCTCTGGTACCAAGAGCGTTTAAGGACCCTCTCCCTTTGGAATAGCTATACAAGTATTTCGGGATAACAGAGGAACTTCGTCGGTACATTGGGTCTTATGTCAATCGTGAAGGAGCCTTTGAATGGAGCAGCCGAGTGATGATACTTTATATTGGTATTTAGATGTGTATTAACTTGTGAAACATTTCTTCCTCTTTGTTTAATCAACTTAAATCTTTGAAACATTTTACATAATTTATTCCTTAAATGGTGAGCTTACTGTCACAATTATTTAACTTTCTAGGACATGTTACCGTCTTTCCGGTTAAATTATACAGATTTTCAAAAATACATATAACTATAGTTAGTTGTGGTAAAAGACCTTACATGTGCATAATTTAAATAAACTGATAACACCACAATGTAAAAAAATGCACAATAATGTATTAACTTTATGTTGTGGCATTTTTTTTTTAGTTTGTTTAAAGGTTAGGAATATAGAAGAAAATATCTGATATTTTTATACCCGTACTGGGCAGAGCACAAATAACCCTTTATGTAGCTTTGTGCTTAATAAAAAACAACAAAAACAAATAAACGTCTAATACAGCCTAGTTCATTTTTAGGCCTAAGCTCACAAGTAAATTTTAACATAGACTCTGAAACTAATGTAGGCCTAGCTTCAAATACGACATTTAAATATCAACTGCGCCTAATTTATAAAATGTCTTCACAAAGCTAATAGATCGATAAACAATACAAACTCACCAACTAACTGAATGGCAAAATAGACATGATAACTCTCACTGAATAACGTTTCTGACACTGAACTAACTGAGTGGCACAGAAAGGAATCATTCGCTAAATACTTCACTGAATTCTCAGTGACTCTGACTACTTTTATCTATAATGTACTCTCATTTTTACAACTTTCACGAAATTTCTTGATAATTTTAGGTAGTCTACGAATAGTTTTATGAACTTCTTAAATCTAGCATCATCATCATGATTAGCAACATTCCTCTATCAAAAAATTAAATTATAGCATTGAAAATATAGCTTCCAACACTGCCCCCTTCCTTTGAACGATCTTGATATACAAATAAAACAGAGTTTTAACTGTCTATTCACCAAGTCTTTTTGGTATTTTTCTCTTCCCAAGTCAATGGGATGAGATCGAATGAACTCTTGTCCTTTATCATCACTGGCTGTTCTGGCTGAGTTCTTCCTAGGTCGATTAGCTCTTTGTTGTTCCATTAATATGACTGGGCTCGAAGACTCATCCTAAGGATATTGTCTACTTGGCTTAATAACATCTGTTGATTCCTCACAGTTTCTATTGGTCATAATGACCATGCTTCCCATATTTAGAATGGTTTTCCTTTTCCAAACTCCTTTGAAAGAAGTTTTTAACCCATACTTACTTTTGTCTGTAGTTGCTGGCAATGTGTCTTTTCAAGTTACACTTGAAACATATATTGTATTGTAGCTTATATGTTCCATTCTGTGTAACTAGTTGTCTAATTAATCCTTTCAGTTCTTCTGGTTGAACTATCATCAGAAGGAAATGGCATTTCAATGCTACTTGATCTAATGATCCTGTAACTTGTAGATGACGCCTTTAGTTGTTTATCTGTAACTTTTGTGGATTCACGTTCCACAGCTACAAACTGATGAAGTTCTTTCAAAGATGTACACCTACTTTGCTTAAATCTAATTCGCGTATCCTCATCCATCATAGCATCTGTAAATTGCTTACGTGTCATGGAATCCATCATATCATGTGGAACAATTAGGTAAGATAATTGGCCAAGCCTTTACAAATCTTCCACATGTTTTGTTCAGGTCGTTTGTTTCCACCATACCTTGTTTCGGAACTTTGTTTTGAATAATTCCTTCTGGTTTGTCCCTCCAAACATGTTGGAAAAGGCAAATGCCAATGCTTAATAGTTGTTACGGCTCTCAGTTCGAAGGATTCATAATGTATTTAAAGCCGATCTTTTTAAATGAGCTTCAAAATGAATAGCTTGTTGTTCTATACTCCATCTGTTCACTTTACAAAATATTTCGAACTGAGCTTAATATGCCTCCCAGAGTACTTTTCCACCATAGCCTTTTTTCCCCGATTAGGTGATGTTGTTGAATTGGAAGTAACATAACTGCAGTAGTTCAGGAAGGACCTGCAGTCACAAATGACACAGTAGTAGTGGTAATGAGAGTAAACCAAACAGGTTATCCTATTCGATATTTAATATTAAATGGTGTTTTGAGTTAGAGTTATTGGAGGTTGCAAAAAGATGCGTGGGTGGTTTGATCTTTATATTTATCAATTCTTTTTAAAGTGTTTTATTCTGTCATTGGTACACTTTTTTTACCTCATTGATCTTGCTATTATAATCGTTCTTTACATTATAGATGTTTTTGTACTTCTACACATTTGCTGTAATCCCTCTGTACATTTTCAATAGCTTTGTCGACCCTCTCTTCAGTCAGATTATTTTTCTTAATTGTTCTTTAAATATGACATCTCTTTCTTGTAACTCCTTTCTTAAGTGTTCGTCTCTTAGCTCTTGAACTTTATTTATGTTTTATAAATTTTCTTATATATTTGTACCTAATCAAGGAATTTCATCTCAATAAAAACTATTAATAGAAAAATAGAATGGAATTTAACCTTAAAATTTCATAAGGATAACAGTATATACATCATTATTTTGTTTAATGTATTGTAAGTGTTCAGTTGTATGATTTTTTTCAAATAATACACGTTTTATCTAACATACGTGAGAGAGTGATTGCAGGCTTACGCCAGGCTCATACTCAGTGTCAGGCTATAGCTTTCATCGCAAATATTTAATATAAACAATTTGTCGAGATCCTGAAAAATCATGATTGCCATAGAATTATAACGTTAGAGAAAGAAAGTAAAGATAACGATTGTTTTTAAATGTTACTGTTTTTCAGCATAGAATTCAGTTTTGCTCATTGTTTATTAAATTTTATACCACAATAACACATATTCTGTTTTTGTTCAGAAATATTGTTTTATCTGTGTATTATATTTCGCCTTTTATCCAGTTACTAGAAATTATTAATAGCATTTTTGTTCATGAAACGTCATTTATAAAACATCTTTTGTCTAGTTTTTAAAAAGATAACCATGTTCTGAAGCAGTGTGCTATATTTTTATGCTATTAAAGAAATCTGGCTGCATTAAAAACATTTGTTTTGGTTGTTCTTACTGAATGATATTTTAACATTTGTTTACATTATATTGTTTGGGTTTTACAATATTAGACATTGAAGAACTTTTTTCATTTAATTTAACGTATTAAATATGGCACAACATCATCCACTTAATTTAACATATTAAATATGGTACAACATCATCCACTTAATTTAACGTATTAAATATGGCACAACATCATCCACTTAATTTAACATATTAAATATGGTACAACATCATCCACTTAATTTAACATATTAAATATGGTACAACATCATCCACTTAATTTAACATATTAAATATGGTACAACATCATCCACTTCATTTCATTTTAGTATTTTGATAATTGTCCTCTGGTGGAACAGTGGTAAGTTTACGAACACTAAAATCCGGCCTTCGATCCCCATGGTGGATGCAGCAGATAACACACTGTGGCTTTACTCAAATTACAAACAAACATTTCAATAATTAATAAAAAATAGGTTTCGTAATAAATATCATTTATTTTACTTTTACAATTATCATATTCTTTATGTATTCATACGACCTACTAATAGAAATCACTTATAATAATATGTAGATGTAATTTTCTCTAACCTGGGATTCTTGGTGTTATAAAGTCTAGGTGATGCATTGTTTTTAATTTAAAATGTTTTACATTTACCTCAATATTTTACTAGCTACCCGTTTGTAATAATATCTATACAATGACTCTATAAATTTGTTTTAACATTTTTCGTCTAGAAAATGCGCTTTCTTACTTGGTTTATATTATCTTACTATCTTGAAAACATCACAATCACTTTTTGTATTAGAACTTCGCCAAAATACGAAGATTTGCACAAATATATCAATAGTTTTTTCAGAAAAATATGTTTACGGTAGGGGAAGATGGTTACAGAAGGATAAAATGTTTCTTTGTTTGAGAATTTTCAAGCAAGGCCATATAAAGAGATATTTACATATAACTTTTTCTAATTTTGAAATGATGGGCTAAAGGAGAGACATCTAGCGGACACCATTCTTCAACTACATTTGTCTGACCACCATTCTTCTTATAGGACACCCAAAATCCCAAAGTACGAATCGCATTTTTCCATCGACGAGTCGGGAGCTAGGAATCCTCGAAGTGACATTATCAGAACACTAGTTCAATTCTGATAAAAATAATAACATAGTAGTAATTCTTCATACACTGCTTCTCTGTGTATTTTTGGTTTTATTTTGCTATTCAATACAAGTACAATACTTTCTATTTGTATATATTACATAGAACTAAGTTAAGTTATACTTTCTATCTTGTGAATGGCAAGAACGCCGAAGGAAGATTTTTTTAAAAAGATATAAATGCATTTGTTTTCTTTAGGAGACATTTCAACGATGGTCCATCGTTTTCTACACAACTTCTGTAGTTTATGTCATTGCAGCAATCTTATTCGTTATATTTGGATCTGCAGAGCTGCAACCCTGGGGTGTAGTGGTCTCTGAAGAAACGGACAGTACTGAAGAAGACACTACTGATAATTGTCTAAATCTCGATGATATTCCAGTATTTAGTGTTTCAAAGGTTATCGGTAGTTAACAGTATCTGTTTTTTTTATGTATTCTCGATTAAAGATGACATGGTATATCATATAGTTTGTGTTTATTGAAAATCCTCGAGGATATACAATATTATATATCTTAATAGCTGTCATTTACAGTTGACTGGATAAAGTGAGATTAGATGTATGCAACTTCTTCATGACCAAGCCTAATTCAGGACATCGAATACTTACCCTTTTCAGAATTATTTTATTTAGTATTATATTTCCGCTATTTGTGATGAACCCAAATATATATTTTACATCATTTTCAGGACAGACCTTTTTGTCTTGTTTCATGAGAAAGCCCATTTCTAAGGGCTGAAATTTGAGTTTGGGTATTTTTGATCAATAGGCTGTCATGTTTCTCTAACCCTTGTTTGATATTGTACAATATTGTGGATTCAGGTGGCTCACAAATTCTTGAACTTTGCCTTTAGTTTGTGGCCATATAAAAATCTATTGTTAATATATCTAAGTCAAATCCAGGGAATTAAAGTGGCGTTATCTTCGATATATTCTGCAGAATTTCTACAAGTATGTGAATTTCTTAGCTTTATCAGTGATAAATGTATACGAAATGAACTTAACAAAGCTGCTATTTCTTGCATTCGACAAATTAATGTTCCAGTAAAATTCTCCGTACACTGGAGAAAATGTAATTAGATATAAAATTCAAATTTAAACATAAGTTGTACATTGAAGCCAATGACCAGAATAAAACAATGATTTACATTTCAAAGCAGTGCACAGAAAGGTAATCATTCATTGGTTGTTTACAAATTTACATTTCCGTACTGCAGCATAAAATGTGTTGCTTCGGCCGTTAGGTGTTATCTCACAAATATATAAGAACGCTTACTATAAAAAATCTAAGACTACACTAAATATCACACATCGTTCTGCAGTAGCTGACAGTAGTTTTCAACTCTAGCTATTGTAAAGTGTATAATACAGCCCAAAATGAAAAACAACGCAGGAGAACAAAAAAGTATTTTCTTATTATTCACGTAAAGCCTAATATTAGTCGACAAGGCTCAGCTATTTCATAATTTTTATTTAACTACAATTGAACTATTGTTTTTGCAATCAAAATTGTTTGCTTTTTAGATTGCAAATGAAAGACCAGTTGGTTATGATTTGGAAGCAGTAGTTGAAATAATGAGGGCAACATGTATGACAGTTAACTTATCTTAAGCGTTGAATTTCTAGGCGACAAATATGCTTGCATTCTCTAACTGAACAAGTTAAACACTTATATGAGAAAATTTTGAGATCATAACAAAACTAAGTTTAATTTTGAATTATCTGATAAAACTGTGCAAAGGTGACAGAAAGTATAAAGAAAAAGAAACTTTGTGAGAAAGTAGAACCCATACGTGAACTACTTATCACAAACTGAGGAAGGTTTTTCCAGTGTATATATATATATATGTGTGTGATGAGGAACGGAGACAAGCTCTTGTGACTATTACAGTGACTATTTAAGTGCATCATAATTTTCGTATTACTGATCACGCTTTCCATCCTTATTTCAACCCACCGAAAGCCACATTGTACTTATATATATTTATTCAGTGATTTTGCTGTTTCTTTCCTTATTTTCCAAATGTTTCTTTATAACAAGTAAGATTTCATGACAATATTTTATATTGCAAACGTATTATATATCTTATTTTGATCTAATTTCTGATGTAATAGTTATTAAAACAGTGAAGATCCTACAGTGGCAGCTCAGATCATAAAGTTTCGAAGTTTAATATTGTTCATTAATATTATTGATGAAAAAAATAAACGCGCTTGTAACCCGTATTAATTCATAATATTTCTGAAATATCAGTATAGATGTAAATTTTGATACATTATCAGAATCGTTAATACGTGTGGCGATAAGCAATGCTACTTTTGGTTTAAAATATTAGATAATACCTGAAATACTTCCAAGATTTTCATTGAAAATAACTCGAGAAATTCTGGGCTGTGTGCGTGTATGTGTATATAAATAACCAAAACACATACAAGTTTCCACCTGCGGATACAAACAACAAAACACTACAATTCTTGAACTTGTCTATTTCTTTCTCTTCTTTATTACTTTCTTCCAGTTTCGTAACTTGAAATGTCACTTGAAATGCAGTTTTACAGACAATGAAAAATCGATTATTTTAAGCTTATCATTTTCATTCCTTTATCATTTTTCTTTTGATTAAAACGCACTTTAATTATACTCTCTCCTTTTGTTATAGAAAAGTAGCTTATTTCCATAATCTTTAACAATTTAATACAAAACATACCTCTTAATTGCTTTCTTTTCTCTTTTCTAATTCCTAGTCCTTATTTTTATCGTTACACAATTCCATCTAATCTTACTCGACTTCTATTACTTCTTCTGCCCTCTCACCTCTATCTTAAACGATACAAGAGTTTCCAAAAGAATGGGAGATTTAAATAAATTGAAATGCATAAATTTCATTAAAGAAAAATTAATGAGCTCTGTTGAAGAATTTAAGTTGAAAAAGATCTAATTTTGAGTAATTCAGAAATTGGGTATTTGTATGTACTTCCAGAGATCCATAAATCAAAGAAAGATTACTTAATTATTACTGAAAACAAAAGATGAACTTATTCATATTTGACAACCTACTAATATTTCGGGAAGACCAATTGTAGGAGGGAACGAAAATAACACGGAAGATAGTGATCTTTTAGACATGTTATTAAAACCTTATTTATTTCATATTTAAAATATTACCAGGAATAGTTTCTAACTTGTTGAAAAATCGCCAAGAAACCAAAGTTTCGTTTCTTCAGATGTAGTAGCTCTTTATCTTATTATGAACTTAAACCTGTGACATTTTTTCTGGATCAATACAAGGAATTTATTCATCCCAAGTATAATAAAAGCCTTAACTGGCTAGCCGTCCCTAATTTAGCAGTGAAAGACTAAAGGGAAGACAGCTAGTCATCACCATCCACCGCCAATTCTTGGGCTACTCTTTTTATCAACGAATAATGGGACCTGCAAAGGGTATCTTTCTACCAAATTCTATGTAAATTGGTCGAAACAAGGATAACAAAAATCGACTAATATCCCCTAAAATTATGGGTTTATTTAACCTTTGGACTTCCTAAAATGAGGCCAGGTGGCTAACGCGCTCGACTCGTAATCTGCGACTCTCGGGTTCGAATCCCAATCACACCAAACATTCTCGCCCTTTCATCCGTGGAGGCGTTATAATGCATCAATCTCTCTATTCGTTGGTAAAAAAGTATCCCAAAGTTGGCGGTGGGTGATGATGCCTAGCTGCCTTCCCTCTAATCTTACACTGCTAAATTAGGGACGACTAGCGCAGATATCCCGCGTGTAGCTTTGCGCGAAATTCATAACAAACCAATCCTAAAATGGGCGTATCGCATTTTTTGTACGTATATGTATGGGACCTGTCAAAAAGTATCTTCGTACTAAATCACCAAAAATCCTAAAATTATGCTTTTTGTGGCATCTTGACTCCACTATAATTACTAAAAATGGGCAAGCCTACCTCTTTAATACCAAATCGCATAAACATTAGTCAAAGTATGGCCGAATAATTGGCCCCAAACCCCAAAAACATGCTTTTTTTTTATTAGCTCTGATCCCCCTAGAAACTGAAAATGTGTAGATGCAATTTTTTTATGTTGGACGAATGAAAATGTATATTTATGCCAATTTTCATCTCGATTGCTGTAAATATTACCACACAGTAGCCCAAGATATACATTTTGGGTTGTTTTACCTTTGACCTAATAAAATCCTAATAATCATCTAATGTAAAAAATAAAAAAGCGTCTGAGCGTATTGGATCAAGGTATAATTCTTCCAAGTTTCAAGTGAATCCGCCCGGAAACGAAGGAATGACTGTCGACTGAAGAGTGTTTGGAAGAAGAAGAAAGAAGGGAAGAAGCAGAAGAAACAATAGAAAAACAGTATGAAGTTTTAATCAAAAGAAAAATGAAAAGGACCAGAAAAAAGTATATTTAATAAACTTTGATTAATATATTTTTGACTATATTTTAATGTATTTAATTTATATATATAGATAGTATTTTATATTTTTATTTTTTGAAAAAAAATGTATTTAACTCATGTTATACATGTTTAGTTGAAAAGTAGTATTTGCACGTTTTTATTACACATTATCTGTAAAACGACATCCTGAAGAACGACCCTTGAAGTCACAAAACCGGTATTTAATAATAATGAATAGATTTCAAGATTGTAGTTTTGTTATATATATATTATAGTTGTTATTTTTATTTGTTAAAGCCTCATCTTTCCATTAAATATTGCAAAATTGTGTAAACCTTTCAGTGGATTTTTTAGTGTAATAATATAGACGATGATTTGTTACTAAGAACTAAGACAATATTCTCAGATTACACAATTTTTTTTATATTTATAGTAAAGCTAATGCTGCCATCTTTCGTTTTGAAATAATGACCAGAGAGAGCAACGTAGCATTCACCATCTGCGCCAAGGGATTGACCATCACTGTTATAAAGCATCAAGAGATTAATGTGTGAGGAATATTTTGTGGATCGCACGGATTCAAACTTGCCTCGCCAGCTCCGAAATCCAGAGCTCTATCATACGACCAGTCCGCAACTTCACATACGGATGAAAATACATTTAATTTACTCCGCGTGTGTGTTTCCTTAATTGCATATTTCCTTCGTACTTCTTTCCATTTTATTTATTTATCTTCTTCTGCTGTACGAAGATTCAACATTGAACTTAAACTTTGAATTATTCTCTATCTTTCCAGACTTAGAGTGAAAAGTAATATAATGGTCGAATGATTTAGGCATGAGGCAACCATTGTTCTTTCTTTTATAACATGAAAGTTGAACCCAAGCTGTTTCCCTTTTTCCTAAATCGAATACAATTTATAACACATTATTTCTTTTGTTTTTCTTTATTATGGATCGATAAGGTTCGAGATATTGGGTCAGTGTTTTATTTCTTTATAAGCTTGTTATTATTCCTTAATCAAACTTATACAAAAAACGATTATTAGACCGTAAAAAATACAAATGTGTTAATTATTTAAAATATGTTATTTTTATCACGTAGGAAATTGGGGTTTAAATACCTTAAAAGATTAAATCTGTTCATAAACCTTCTCTTTTTTTTCTTTTTGTTGTTAACAGTATACACTCATGAGGTTATTTATCAAGAGCATCACCGAATCTGAGCATCACGACGTGCTTTAATGTCTTGGTGATTCTTAGAATAAAACTTTTTGATCGAGTAAATTATGAATAAAATTATAAATCTTGGAATCACATGCATTGTCAATTTGTTTGTTTGCTAAATTTTACTCGAAGACTACCTGCTCTAGCCGTCCGTAATTTAGAAGTGATAAACTAGAGGGTTTGTTTGTTTGTTTGTAGTTAAGCACAAAGCTACACAAAGGGCTATCTGTTCTCTGCCCACCACGGGTATCAAAACCCGGTTTCTAACGTTGTATGTCAGCAGACATACCGCTGTGTCACTGGGGGGGGGGGCAAAACTAGAGGGAAAACAGCTAGTCAACATCATTTACCGCCAGCCTTGGGTACTCTTTATTAATGAATAGTGGGATTGGTCGTCACATTA